GTATTCATTCTTGGAGTGGAGAATAGGAAGTGAAAGTGCTCATAGGAGAGCTTTGAAGAGGAGCGTAGTTCATATAATGTGATAGGGCAAAGAGCACTAAATTACTGGAATTGTTAACCTGATCGGTGTTTTCAAAACAGTATCTAGGTTCTTGTAGATACGAGAGGAATTCAGTTCCTAGGTGAGCTTTACATAGAAGCAGGGAATTGCTAGGGGAATGGTTAACTGTCAGATAACATTTTAAAAGCCTTCCATAAAAATGGAACAGACAGAATAATCCAATTTTCCTAGGAGGCTGGAAGCAACTAACAAAGTCTAGGGGATTTATGTAGAAAACTTAGAACATCTTTCTGCAAACATGGTTGTTTTCCATTATCTTTGACTTGCAGGTCCTTTTTTTCCTTTTTTTTTTTTGGGGGGGGGGAGGGTGGAGAACCTTAGCTTGAATGGTAGTAAGACCTGATGCCTCTCTTCAGATCTCTTGGAAATAGTCCCCTACAAAGGGCGTGTGCTTCTGAAAAGGGTTCTGTTATTTTGGGGATATAGATTACAGGAAGGTGAATGTTACTGTGTGGTGATGAAAAGGCTTCAAGTCTGACAAATTCAAGTGGAGGATACACAGCTCTGTTTACTCCCCATTTAAAGCATAAGAAAACCATGTGTCTTTAAAAAAAAATCCTAGTAAATAGAATTCTCTCTAAATGAGAAACAGTATTGTTGCAGTTAAAGGATCATAATAATTCTTTAAAATATATAGTTACAAATATCCATTTTTCTTTGGAGCATGGATGTTAAAAAAAAGTACAAGAAGATGCCTTAAGAGTGTCATCTCAGTATGCATATATGCATTGAAATAATTACTGAGAAGGAAATAGAAATCCTACAATATGATCTAGAAAATCCTATTTCCAGTTTATGTACTTTTAGAATGGGGCTCATTCCTAGGGGAGAGGATATAATAGAAAAAAAATGTAGCTACATCAATAAACCTGATATAGCTGTAATTGATAGTTTATTTAGAGTTGCATTATAAAAAAATTGTAGATACGTCACAGACTGTAATAAAAAGACAGTGATCCAAAACAACTTTTTTACACCATAGATTACATTCACTAAATCTTACATGCAGAAATTAGAGAGGGGGAAAAAAATATCAGCTCCTTAATTTATGTGTTTCCTTTTCCAGACTTGTGACATGCTGGGTTTGATCAAACACTATTACACATAATCTTATTATAGCTTGTTATGCCTTTCACCAGCCAGTATTTCTGTTTAGTGTCTTTTAAAGAATAACCCTTCAAATAAGTTGGCTAAAAGTATTAACAATCAGTGTTTTAATTAATGGGGGTTGTGACTGCAATCACTCAGATCAAAAATTTATTATGCATATAAAAACTATAATTAGAGAAATACTTCTGTATCTGAACTTTTTAAAAGAATCTACATATGTTTGATTTTATTTTTTCATGCAGATTTTTTAAAAAGTTAGAAAAAGTTGTAGGAAGTAAAACTGACAAGTGTTAGTATATTGTTTTATGCTCAGACGTTAACTCATGGTTTTAAACAAGTTCAGTTTATCAAAAATCTTCACCTCGAGTGTTTAATTTCTGTTTGTTTATAGGCCTTCCATTCCATGACTTCCAAACAATTCACACAATTTATCCATAAAACGTCCCTACAAGACAGGGAAATGATATAATATCTGTGCCTTTTACAGAGAGGCTCGGGGGGCAGAAAGGGTGCAAGTGTTGTTCAGAGAGGGATTTCCATTCTGGATCTCCTAGGTCAGACACGCACATGTGTGACTGTTGAATTTACTGAGCAAAAGCTGTTTAGAGTCGACAAATAAGGAATGTAGACTATGGAGACTTGCATGAATTAGCGTTTTCTGAGCATGGTGCTTGGTGCCAGGGGTGCTGTACCAGAGGAGAATCCGATTCCTGGGTCTTAGCCTACAACTAAGAACTGAAAACAACTATGAAGTAAAATCTACCAGGCTTCTTTTTATATGGAATTCTATTTTAAATGTATTTTCTGCATCATCTGTATCATTACAATAGTAGTATGTACATCCACTAGCAGAAAGAAGGAAAGGCAATATACAGTGTCAGTTGTTCCAATTTAAAAAGAAAAAAAAGAGATAAATAGAAAAAGGACTGATTAGATGATGCTGTTCAGTCATCTTGGTTATCTTACGTAATTCTTCTGAGTTGGTTCATCCCTTGAGAATAGTTTATTTAAAGCGTATTTGTTGTAGGAAATAATTTATTTTCTCTCAAGAAAGCTTCATTGCATTAGGAACCTATAATTAAGTATATATGATGATCCCATTTAATGCAGAACTTTGTCTAAGAGATGCCTCTCGAGGACAGGATAGATCATTTTTATTAGATTACAAAGGAGGGTCCCTATTTTCCCCTACTATTGCCGTAGTCCAGAGCACGCTGCTTGAAAGATTGCTCTCTGCAGGAAATGCCAGTTATCTATTGTGGTTATGGGTTTAAATATGGTAAGTTTCTTCTGATCCTTGCGGTCAATTTTAATGTGCTGATGATGGTCAGAAGCCTGCTGATAAGTACCTCATGATGTATCTGCTCTTGTTACAAGTTCTGAGTGTCCTGGCATATTTTACTACCTTTCAGCTTTCTGTTCTGCGGCTAGCTGGTTGTGACTGTCAGACCTGGCTTCTGAGAAGCCCATCAGTCCGGTGCTGTCCCGTGACTGTTGCTCCCTTTGGAAGACTTTTAGAGGATGGATGCTTCAGTTGCTCTATTTAAGAACGTGGCTCTGAACTTGAACTGGATTCTCCACTCTGAGCCTTTTTTCCCTCAGGGTACATATTTGGGGTGCTTTAATTCAGGTTAGGTCTTGAAAGAAAAGCCTAAATCGAGCCTTGCACAGGATGAGCTGTCATCCAGAGATGGCCTTTCACCAGCATAACTCATTTTCCGGATGTAATCTTACTGGCCAAACAGAGTAGCCCTTTGTCTCTCAGCGCTCTTCCATTACTAATTGTCTTTATTTCAGGAGCTGCAAGGGCAATGTAATTCCAGTCCATGTGGGTAGGGGTTTTTTATGGTTTGGCTGGCCTTTGTTTTTTTCATATTTATGATAATACTCGAATATTCTAGTCTAAACACATTTTCAGACTGTTCAACCAGTTATTAACTGTAATGGAAAGTTTCTCTGTAAAGGACCCGCTGTTCCCCTTGAATTAAAATCCCCTTGTCTTTCCCTGGGGGCTGCAGGATAGCAAGTACGTACAGAATATCATCAGCTGAAAACTGCAAGCATGAATTGCCTTCCGTTACGGAGGGAGGGCCCTTTCTGTCTTACTAATGGCAGAATCATTACTCCTAAATAAACACTCAGAAACAAGCTTTGCTCAGTATTCAGCTTCATGTGTTACTTGAGAGAGAGAGATTTAGAGCAAACCAGACAGACAGTGCCTTTCATTTCTCTCTTCATCAGAAGAGCCAGAGTGAAGGGAAATAATATATCTCCAAGTGCCCATCTGTTGGTAGGACAGACCACCAGAGTTGTCTCTTGTGTGCACATTTAGTCTTTGCAGCTTGAGGATCCTGCTCGTCCCCGAGACCTCGCATATTCCAAGGGCAATTCTGCCTGCTGTGGCTGGGGGAGGAGACTTGGGTTCCTTCATCCTTATTGTCAATCATTGCTTGAAGTTGTTCCCCGTATACTTACTAAAGCTGTATTCATCTCTTCTTCGGTCAAGAATCTCTTCCCTGTCTGTCCTTTCCTCTCGAGAGGAGGAAAGTTGCACTTATTTGATGGAGAGAGTGCTCTATGTGTTAACATTTTACTTTTATTTTAACATAGAATTATATTGCTTATTCTAATTAGTATCAGTTGAAATCTTCCTGAGGCCACAGAAAAAAACTAATTTTTAATATAAAATCGAAGCCTATGTTAAGACAACTTGTGCTGCTTGAAGTTACATGTTTTACCATGTAGCAAACCAGTACTTGTGGGAACTGTCTGACTTTGATAGGAACCCTTCGTCTTTCATGGAACATGCTACCATTCTTCCATGCCATTTTATAACTTCAGTACTTTTATGTTGCAAACAGCCCTTCCTTTCTTGTGTTGCTTTTTTCTTCAGTTACTGCATGCTGCCTCATTTTCTGGCATTGACTATTACTGTTGGCTTTCCCTTGAAGTGGGCTGGCATAGAGAGTGATTGGAGAAAGAAATTACTGTTTGTTATTTCTTCTCTAAATCCTTTATAGTTCAGCTCAGAAATCTCATTTTGTTGTGTAGCAGGAGCAGGCATTTCTTCTTGACAGATTTGACATCATCTGAGCAGCACTGATGCTCTGTCAAGGTCAATCGGTCTGTTTAAAATGAAGTTACAGTATGAAGGTTTTTCTCTCCTAACTCTTGAGCATTAGAAAAACCTGAATCCCTCTTATGAGATGTAACCTCTTATCAGGTCTGATTTCTTTTCATTATATGCTAATTTAGTTTTCAGATCCATAATTTAATTTCTTTGCTTATTTTCTGACAGGGCAGCAGAGGGGTAGTACTGATAGCAGAAGAACAAATGTGCATTTACCTTTCATTTCTACAACGTTTCACAAAAAGTGAAGTGTCACAGTGTAATTTTCCCTTACCACCTCCATACAAATGCTTCATCAGTGTTACATTTAAAATATTGTATCATAGTATAGGGTCAAAGCCTAAAGAAAAGTACCGGTTTGAACAGAAACTACTTAGAGAACTTTCATGTTAGTGAAGTGATCTTGGTTTGAGGGCATAATCTGAGGAGAAGATGCTCCCAGTGATTAGCGGGAAGGAATGCAACCTAAATAACTCAAAAGCATTTTTATTTAGTTTGATTTTATGTTTTGTGACCTGTGGTCTGTGATGTTTTTCATTCAGTTTTACATTGCAGTTATAAGGCGTGCACCCTTTAAGTTTTCAGTGTCTTTTCAGTGTCTGTGAAATCTCAAAATGAACAATTTTTATCTTTTTAACAGGACATGGCGCAGATGTGAAATGTGTTGACTGGCATCCAACAAAGGGATTAGTTGTATCGGGAAGTAAAGATAGCCAACAGCCCATTAAGTTCTGGGATCCAAAGACTGGCCAGAGCCTTGCCACACTGTAAGTTCTTGCCCACAGACTTTGATTTGCTCAAATATAAACTAACTTCATAGAACAATTTTATTTTTTTTTATTCCCTTCATAGCTTTTTGCCTCATATCTTTTCAGCCATACACAATTGCTTCAAATATAAAGCTAGTGCTTTAGCTGTGTCAGGAAATCTAGAGGTTAGATGAAGTCAAGTCTATACTTGGAAAATTGTGACTTCAATATTCCTTATTTAAATTTACTTTGTCCTCTCCACAGACCTCCTAGTCACACAGTTCTCATTTAGAAAACAGAACTGAGATGTGGAAACACAAATGAGAGGTTTCATCTGGCTGATGAAAAATTTCTTATGCTGCAGTAGAAATATGCACAGTAAATGAGCACTGTCTCAACGAGCACTACCAGATGCTCTGAAGTACGAAAGAACAGGATTAAGGCATTAGGGCCTTTGCACAGAAAGCCACAGTATTCAGGTTTAGTAGCCTGAACTACTTTGATATTGACCTGAATATTTGGGGTTGGTAATTTATCACATTTTCATTTGTGTCTGAGAAATCAGTATCTGGACAAACGGTCCGTCTTTCTCTGCTTGCAGACATGCTCATAAAAACACTGTGATGGAGGTGAAACTGAATCTGAATGGCAACTGGCTGCTAACAGCTTCTCGTGACCATCTCTGTAAGCTCTTTGACATTCGTAACCTGAAAGAAGAACTTCAGGTCTTCAGGGGTCATAAAAAGGAGGCCACAGGTCAGAAATTGTTACATTTTATGGATTTTATTAATAAGTTTGGATTAAAAATTAACATTTTTGAAATCCCAGTTTCCATTAATTAGAAATCCTAGCATTATATTTTCTGATTGTGACTTACTTTGTATTTCAGCTGTGGCCTGGCATCCTGTTCATGAAGGGCTGTTTGCCAGTGGAGGATCTGATGGCTCTTTGTTGTTCTGGCATGTTGGGTATGTGGCATTTTCATTAGCGTATTGGAAAGATGTTGGTCAGATGTGCAAGCTATTACACTAAACATAAAATACAATTTTCATCTTTGAATCTGTATTTAACATATATGCTTATGGTATAGTCTTTATACCTGAGGAAGTTTGTGAATATGCTTCATTTATGAAGAAGTTTTCCTGTGCAGATATATATTAAAGGATACAATTGCTTGCACAGAAAATAGTCTTTTATTGAGAGCGTGATGAATGGTTGAAAATCCTAGTTTCTTAGAGCTTATTCTGAGATGCTGTAATTATTTTGCTTCTAAATGTAAGTTAAAAATCCCTACAATACTGAATTCCTTATTAAGAACAACTGGGAATGATGAGTTCACCCAAGAGAAAAATAAGAGTCTTAAGTTTGGCACAATAGAGGAAGAGGAACAACTGAACAGCAGAAGTTCTGTATTGTATCTGCAGCAGATACTTACCTGTGTGATGACTGATTTTTTTTTTTTTTTTTTTAAATGCATCAGTGTTGAGAAGGAGGTTGGTGGAATGGAAATGGCCCATGAGGGAATGATCTGGAGTCTGGCGTGGCATCCCCTTGGACACATTCTCTGTTCAGGCTCAAATGATCACACTAGGTATTTTCAAGCATTTAAAGAAAAGATCTAGGGGTATATATGCACATTTAGAAACTAGAAAGGTGCACGGCATCAGTGAACAAATTATAGATTGGGATGATTCTGATACACAACCAGTGGGCAAAGCAGACACACAAATTTATCTAAATGGGAAGGTACTAACATTTTACATTAAAAGGTAGAGTCTAAATTCCTGTCCTTCAGCTAAGGAAACCTTCAAAAAATACTAGAATTTTGGGTTTGTGAGAGCTTTGAAATCTCCTGAAGAAATTTTTTAAAAAGAATTGTAGTTTTATGCTGAACAAATAGTTTGATCTCTCCAGCAATTTCCCCTGCAGGTCATCTGCTGGTTGTGGCTGTCTTTTCACATGGCAAACATGTTTGGAGGCATATAGTTTGTGCTCTTAAGTTGAACATGCTGTAAAAATGAAGCATTTTATAAATGGGGTAAATTTTTATGTGTGGGTGTCTGTATTGACAAGTCTAGCAGTATATGAAGAATGTATGTGAATTGAGCGAGAAGTTTTTGGAATGGAATAGAAATATATCTGTCTTTAGTATTTGATGTTGATGTCTTGTACTTATACCCCTTACACTTTGAAGTACCTTCTGCACTGTAACTATATAATTCAATATGATAATTGTTGGTTTTTTATTTTTGGTTTGAACCTCACACCTAATGTTCAGATCTAGCTCCAAACTTGATTTAGTAAGAGTTGAATCCTTATTTAATCAAGATAGCACCCTAAAAAGGAAAGAACTAGTTAGATTAAAGGAAATTAATACTCTTGACTCTTTATTGAGATCATATAACTTCCTTTTGACAGCAAGTTTTGGACTAGAAATCGGCCTGGAGATAAAATGCGAGATCGCTACAACTTAAATCTGCTGCCTGGGATGTCAGAGGATGGTGTGGAATATGGTAAGGCAATTTCCCTCAGTATGGCAGAAAGGGTGTTGGGGTCAAGAACAAGCTTAGGTTGTTAGCTGACACTAGAGTGCAGTTTCTGGGTAAGACGATGAAACAGTATTACAGCATTGGTGACTATCTAGACAAATATATTTTTTTACAAGGATGATTTTGTTCTCTGTGTTACCAGTGATCACCATTCCAACGAGTTTTCTTTTGTTTCCACAGCTCCAGGAGGTAAGACCTGCTCTGTCAGTCACAGGAAGGAGGTTTGGCTCTCCCTCTGGCAATATCTCCAGTTTACTTTTCTTCCTAAAAACTTCATGTGACTTAAAGACTTTCCACAGTCCTGACCTACAACAGGAAAATCTTTCAAATTATTGAACTTGACTAAAATCTTAAAACTTTAACCCCCTCTTAAGGATTTATCTTAGTAATTTTAGGCTGCTCAGCATTGCCCAGCTCTATGTCATGTCTCAGCAACCTTTTCATCTCTGGGGTTGCATCTGTTTCTACAGATTTTAGTTTATTTGCTCTTTTGTGTTTGAGAATGTTAATTAGAATGCAGCACTTTAATCAAATTTAAGTTTTAAAATATATAGATTTGTTGTAACAAAAATGGGAATGGGTATGGGTTATTATTTCCTTGTCTGAGCTTCTACTCTAAATGTAACTTTCCTGAAAGGACATAGTTTCTGCCATTTTGGGGTGTACTTATGAATCTGAATTTGCCTTTTAATATCCTGTAATTCATGTGAGGAATTAAAAAGTCACCCACCAGTCATGACGTATGTAATAACACCAGTGGTTAAAAGCACGTGAAAATCCAAAGGGATAAAATGATAATGTGAAGAAAAATGTTCCAAGTAGAAATATTTATTGTTTTTCTATAGATGATCTGGAACCCAACAGCCTAGCAGTTATTCCTGGGATGGGAATACCTGAACAACTGAAAATAGCCATGGAGCAAGAGCAGATGGGTAAGTAGTAGCTTTGAGAAAGCATTTTTCTGAGCCATCCAGATACTGTGTGACTTCTCTTGCATTCCTTTCATATATTTTTGTAGCACAGGTGTTTTTTTTTTCTGAAGTTCTGCATTGTATTTATTTCCCATGTGAAGAAGGAAGAGTTGCAAAACTCTTGGTCTCTTTTGTTAAATAAACTGTAAAGAGAGTAACAGGATTGCTCTGTAAACCTGTATTGCTCTGACTGTCTCTGTGTTGCTAAAGGGAAAGATGAGTCCAATGATATTGAAATGACAATCCCAGGACTGGATTGGGGAATGGAGGAAGTAATGCAAAAGGACCAAAAGAAAGTGCCACAGAAAAAAGTGCCCTATGCAAAACCAATACCAGCACAGTTTCAGCAGGTAAGTACCTGATACACAGGGAACAGGAGAACAACATGTTATTTTCCCAACTTCAAAAAGTGTGTGGCTGTTGAAATGTTTTGGCTTTCCGGTATCAGCTATTTTTTATATCAACACCCAGTGCAAAATCATTTACCACAGTATTTATTTTAATTACTATTTAAGCATAAAGTATTTGGTTAAATCCCTTATATCTTGTATCTGTACCTGGAAAGTAGGATGTTAGAAGATACGGAAATTTTATTCAGCATTGGTTTTGGCTTCTGAATATCCATACTACCCAGCGTTCCAGCATATCCTTTCCCAATGCAGCAATATATTGCATACATGCTGTCCCACGGAATTCATGTTGTGTTTACTATTCTTGATAGGCATGGATGCAGAATAAAGTTCCTTTGCCTCCCCCACCTGAGCCATTGAATGATAGAAAGGAAGATATTAAACTGGAGGAGAAAAAGAAGACACAGGCAGAGATTGAACAGGAAATGGCAGCACTTCAGTACACAAACCCACAACTCTTGGAGGTATGTATGTAAAGACAGTTATTAGTAAGTTTTAGTGCTCTACGTGATATTTTTGGACCTGAACACTAAAATGGATAGCTTGCTTTTGCGGTACTGTGTTCACTTTTTTTCAGAAAAACATCTAATTGAACAGGGTATTGGACTTAACGCACGATGCTATGAAACGTTCAGAGAGGCTCCCACATTTCAGTTAACTAATACTGATCTATGGATCTCTTCAGTTGAATTTCTCTTTAATTAAGAGAAAAGCGCTAAATCTTTTTAAAGTCCTGAGAAATTAGATGGTTGCTTCTGATTTTTAGTTGTTACGTATACTTCCATGCTTAGTTGATTTTCTGGCTCTCTTTTTTTCGGACAGCAATTGAAGATTGAGAGACTTGCGCAAAAGCAAGCTGAGCAAGTGCAACCACCACCTCCAGGAGGCTCTCTTCATGGACCCCAGCCTTTTCCAGGGCAAGGCCCAATGTCACAGATGCCTCAAGGATTTCAGCAGCCCCTTCCACCTCAGCAGATGCCAATGAATATGCCTCAGATGGGACCTCCTGGTCCACAAGGACAGTTCAGACCTCCAGGACCCCAAGGACAAATGGGACCTCAAGGTCCTCCATTACACCAAGGAGCTTCAGGTCCACAAGGATTCATGGGACCACAAGGACCTCCAGGCCCCCAAGGGCCTCCACAAGGAATGCCACGGCCTCAGGATTTACATGGGCATCAAGGAATGCAGAGACATCCTGGCCCTCATGGGCCAATGGGGCCTCCAGGTCCACAGGGTAATGCTGGCCCACAAGGCCACTTAGGACCGCAGGGTCTACCTGGGTCTCAGACTCATTTAGGACCCCAGGGTCCGCCTGGCCCACAAGGTCACTTGGGTCCTCAAGGTCCCCCAGGTGGTCAAGGAATGCAAGGGCCACCTGGTCCCCGAGGAATGCAAGGACCTCTTCCTCATGGCATGCAAGGAGCTCCAGGATCTCAAGGAATGCAGGGCCCTATATCTCAAGGGCCTTTGATGGGACTTAATCCAAGAGGGATGCAGGGTCCACCAGGACCCAGAGATAACCAGGGACCTACTCCACAAGGGATGATGATGGGTCATCCACAAGAAATGAGAGGTCCTCATATGCAAAGTGGTTTACTAGGACATGGTCCCCAGGAGATGAGGGGCCTCCAGGGACCCCCGCCTCAAGGTACAATGTTAGGACCGCCACAAGAATTGCGTGGGCCACCAGGTCCACAAGGCCAGCAGGGACCTCCACAAGGCTCTTTAGTAGGGCCTCAAGGAAACATGCAAGGACCTCAGGGACAACCGAACCCTTCAAGGGGGCCGCACCCTTCCCAGGGCCCTCTGCCCTTCCAACAGCAGAAAACGCCTCTGTTGGGTGATGGGCCTCGTCCCCCATTTAATCAGGTATGTGTTGGTCTGTATAATGAGAAGAGTGCTAAGAATGTAGGACTGGTAATGTCATGCCATAGAAATGCAGAGCAAGAGCTGAGAGGCTGGAGCTTTGGTACACTTGCAAGACTGAGGCCTCAGGAAAACTTAAATGATAATGGAAAGAGTTATGTAGTTTGGAAACAGCAGAGGTAACTGTGGAAAAGGGATTATTGAAAATACTGGTACAGAAATCAGTCTGCTACAAAAATGTGTAACCTTAAGAGAAACTCCAGCTTTTCTAGATTTAAAGACATTGAACTGTTTTAAGTGGGGAATTTCCTGTGGAGTAGGTAAGCACTAATAAAAACTGAATTTGAGCAATAAGCATCTTTTGTAACAGGCTTATTCTGTCTTCTGATCTGGCACAGATAATGCAGAGCTTTCTATGTTTATTAGCTCGTACAAGTTCCTATTTACATGGCACTGATTCTGTACTGGAAATTTCTTGCCTTCTGTTTTAAGGTGAATTTTGAAGGGTATGTTTGGAAAAAAATCCTACTTGCTCAACTTTAAAAAATGTGTGGTGTTCTTTAAACAGAATTAACTCTTTTAGAGTTGCACTTAGTTTCTGGCTAAAGCTTTAGACAGGTATGTGTGTAGTCCTTAGTGTGTAGTCCAGAACCAATCACAATGAGTGATGATGTATTGAAATGAGCTTTAGCACAGTGATTCCATTTCAGATTGAGGCAGAGTAGCCTACAAATTCTGTATTTATTTGAATATTTTTCCTTACAACTCACCAGTAATTCCCTTCAGAAGTCTGTTAATGTGACGCTGCGATTTTAAAAGCATCAAAGTGAATGAGAGTTGTCTCCACAACTACCTAATTTAAACTAGTGTAGTGTTTTTCATTGCTATCCCAGGAAGACTAACTTTTCTGCTTCAAGAATAATTGCCAAGCTTGTGTGCCTATAAAAGTTTGCATATGTTTACATATATGTATAGGGCCTGTCCTTGTCTGACCCTAGTGTTAACACTTTGGTCAGAATTCAGTAAGTTGCTTTTGACGTGTGGCTGGTTATTTTCAATGAATAATGACTCTATCCTAGAGTCTTACAGATACTAAAAAAGACAAAGTAAGGTATTTTTGACCATTTTTCTTTCCTTGTGCTGTTTTAGTATGGTAATATCTTTTAAAAATGAACAGATTTGAAAATTCATAGTCAGTTTTTGCTTCAGTTTGCTGCTTTGTAATTTGAAAAATAGTAGTAGTTCCTATTTAAAAAGGCCCTATCTGATTTTTTTAAACAACAAGCTTTAGCTTGTTTTTTGTTGTGAATTTGACGTTTATGTTCTATAAACTTGTACAAATCACTTGCCTTCCTTTTCAGTAGCAGGAGTGTATGACTAATATATCTGCTTTATCAAGGGCTTGTGGCATTAATACTGAACATTTACAGATATTTGTAAAGGTTAATCTCCATGTAAGATACCACTATTAACCTGCATCTGCTATACATTGGAAAGCAGATGTTTACTGCAATGTGTGGGAGAGATGTACATCTCTTCCTGAATGTGAGATCTGCTCCCTTCTGCAAACACGAAATGGAATAGAGAACTGTTTATGAGAAGGTAATTGCCTGAGATAAGATTGACACAATCTTATTCTGGAGATAGGCATGTTGATATTAAAAAGCAGATGGATAAATAGAATATTCCCAAGTTAGCAGGAGGACTTTGGAGATTTTTTGCTATTGCTAATTTAGATTCAGTCTTCTCACATTCCTTTTAGATAGATGTGCTGAATTTCATTTCATTTACTGGTTGAGCGAGGTATGAATACTTCAGGCCATCTCTCGTCCACATAGAGACAAACTTCAGGAGCTTGTGCAGTATTTTAGAAGCAATGCAAATCTTTCTTATGGGTGAATACAAAGGGTTCTTCTCCCCTCAGTGCAGAGTTTTAATTAATACAGAGGGCTATCATAAAATGGCCGTGCCATCTGCATCTCTAGGGTGGATATGCTGGTAATGGGGGAGCAGTTGCGTTCTGCTGCACCAGTTTATCTGGCTTGTGCAGAGCCTCAGCCCATGCTGGGCGACCCCGACCCGTGGCAGGGGCGGTGGGAGATGCTCTGGGTGTCCCTGCCGCAGGGTCAGGGTACGCGGGGCCGCTGACGGCTTTTAGTACAGTATCACCTTCTGAGTGCTACAGACTTGGCTTTCAGTTTCCAGCTCAGTTTGGGGCCTGGAATGTATTTTGAAATGAAAGACGTGAAAATGCAGCACTGGGGCTCTGTTTTTCCTGTCTTGTCAAAGCATGATTTGTTTGGAATAGGGTTTTTGCTAAATGATAAGGAAACTCATTTAGTGAGTGCTAAAAACTGCTGCTTTGGTTAAACACATGTGGCATAAATTTAAGAAGCTCAATAGTTTATTGTAAATAAGCATATGCTAAATATATGAGAAATCATGGAACTCCAGCAGGGTTTTGGTCAAGAACGGCAGAAGTACTGCAATAGCTGGATCTTACCTAGTCAGGGAATTTATTTGTTCTGGACTCAAGTCAACATTCAATCACTAAAAAAGTATTTTTGGGGGGTTCTTTAATAGTTATTGGACCAGGCCTTTTATTTTGCCTTTTTTTTTTTCCCCAAAGTCTTCACAAAATTACTGTATGCAAATGTGATGTTTGTAGTATATATTTGTATGCTCTTTTGTGTTTATCACCTATATTGCAGTTGACTATAAATGCTTAATTTAAAACCAGTATTTCAAGCCATGATGGGAAAAATACACAAATGAATTTACTACTTCTCTGCAACAAGAGAAAAAAAAAAAAAGGTAGTGTTTCTCAAAAATAAATGTAGAGCATGATATTTAACTTTGTTTCATGGATAGATGAAGCAGTGTAATTATGAATACAGTGACAGTGATGGAGTATAGGGTTTTAAGTATTTACAAACTACTTGCAGTTTGGAGGGTACTTTACAAGCCAATATGAAGGCCAAGTCTAGATCTTCGATATGTCTAGGAAAAAAATATTACATGTTTAGGGTTTTCTCTTTGGGGGATTTTTTTGGGGGGTGATGTGAACATAAAAAGGTTGTGTACAGCAATCTTGCAAGTATCAACTCTGGCATGTTCACAGTGATACTTTTTTATTGGTGAATCTCACTGCTACAGTGTAAATTATGTATGTGTCCCCTTTTAGTTCCAGTCAAGTACAAACCCCAAACCATGACTTTTTGTCTGGCCTTTGCTCTTTAAGGCAGAATTGAACAGTTCAACCACATTGTTTCCTGACAAATGTTATCATAGTGGGTCCGGTGTAAGCATGGTACCAGTAGAAATCTTTCATGGGACTGTGACAGTAGCTGAATTTAAAGAATGTTATTTTATCCTTTAACATTCACTAAAAAAAGAGAGACAATAACAAATGACTTAGATATACTTTATTTTTTCTTTGGGATCATATAACTTACACAAACCGCTGCTCACTCTACTGCTTCTGCTTGAGAAAGGCAGGTGACTGCAGCTTCTGCCTTTAACCCTGTCATTGCTTAAGAATCCATTAGCAACTTGTCTCTTGGTGCGCTCAGCCTAATATTTGTACTTTCTTTTGATCCTAGAATTAGAATAAAAAACCCTAAACTCTGTCAGCATGTTAAAAATTAAACTCAAGTATTTCCAAGTTAACAGTTTACAAAAAGATTATAGGAGAGGGTCTCTTAGGGCCCTGTTGTTGTCCCCCTGTCCCAACATTATTGATACTGTTATTGTTTCATTTTTTTGCTAATTTCTAAAGGAAGTCTTTGGACTACACAGCTCTTTAACTACACATAAATCAGTACCTGGTATTTTTCAAACAAATACACACAGTTGACTCATCTTGTCTAATAGGCAGCTAGAATATGAGCTTTATCATCTTTGGTTGTTACAGGTAAAACACTAGTCCTTGAAATGCTGAGCTTCCTATAAAATGGTGTGTTTCTCAGACGGTGACTGAAAAGCATTACTGATGTGAATGTCTGAAAAATTAGGCTGAAACCATTGGAAAATCAGCTGTTTCTGTTGAAAGACCTGTGCAGATGCCATGTTTATATAAAGAAAATTGTTTTGCCCCCTTATGAAATGCTTAAAAAACAAAAATAGTCATGCATGGCAATTCACATGGCTTTTTTTCTTATATCCTCCTAGGATGGACAGAACCCTGGTCCTCCACCACTGATACCAGGACTAGGGCAGCAGGGAGGACAAGGCCGTCTTGGCCCTCACAACCAAGGACCTGGTCTTAATAAAGGTAATTAAATGTGTTTTCTGTTCTTCTTTGAGTAAATCTCCTAAAAGGGGCTTTCCAGTGCAGTGCCTCTAGACAGAAAAGGTTCCAGCAGAGCACAGGGCCTTTGGCTGAGGAAAGCTTCTGTAGACTTGGGCTGGAATATAGAGGAAAAGTTTTGCCCCCAAAATTATTTTATGTGAAATGTGTGGTGTATGCTTTATAGAACTGTACGAAGTAGAGCATCCTAGAGCATTTTTAGAAAACATTACAGAAATCTGCTATGATTTTTTCCCTCAAGGTGACTCCCGTGGTCCACCAAACCATCACATGGGCCCTCTCTCAGATAGAAGGCACGACCAGAACAGTGGTGGTCCTGATCATGGGCCTGAGAGAGGGTTGTTTCGAGGTGGCCAGGAGTGGGGTGATGGTAGAGACAGCAGGGGCATGCCAGATAGACGAGGACCTCACCCAGATTTCCATGATGACTTTGATCGACCAGATGACTTCCGTGACGACTTCCATCCAGATAAGAGATTTGGCCATCGATTACGGGAATTTGAGGGGAGAGGAGGCCCACCGTTGCAAGATGAAAAATGGAGACGAGGTGGACCTGGGCCTCCCTTTCCTCCTGATCACAGGGAATTTGAAGGAGGGGGTTCAAACCGTGGGCCTCCTGGTGCTTGGGAAGGACGGAGACCTGCAGATGATCGATATCCACGGGATCCTGAGGATGCACGGTTCCGAGGAAGACGAGATGAGAGGTAAGAATAAAACTACTTATCTTTTTTGGGGTAAAGGGTAAACAGAGGGAACTCTTTCTTCCTGGTTTCCTTTTCATTAAGGAGTCTATCTGTTTCAGATTTATAAACTGGAAACCAATAAGGAAATGAAAACTCTAATATACCTGAGTATAGAGTCCATAAAATCATTCAGTAATAGAAGAAAACTTGAAAAATGGTCATTGTACACAGCAGCTTCCGTGTCTTTAAACAGTAAGTAAAGAGAAGGGAGGAAATCTGTAGAGAAGATCCAGTGGCACAGGATGAAGATTTGAGACCGTTTTGATGAAAATTGAGAGGAAACTTGAAGGTTAAAGTGACAAACTTTTGAACACTATTAAGTGGATTTTGAGACTCTGTCTCCAGTCACAAACTACAGCATGACTGTAGAGACTGTAGAATGAGATTTAATATACGTGTAAGGAGCAGGAACAGTGATCCTACTATCAGATATAAGGGGCAGAGCTACAGCATCTGTTGGACTGTTGAGACTATTTTCTCATGTTTTTGCTTGTAGAAATTTTATTTTTCTTTCTGACTTATTTCTTAATGCCAAGTGAAGAACTCAAAAATAATTAATTTACAGCAATGTCCATGTCATTGCTCGCAATTTCCAAATAAATCACAAAGGGATGAATTCGCTTCTAGTCACCAGTGTAAATATGGAGGAATTACACTAAGTCAGTAAGATTAACTGTCATCAAAATTGCTCCAGCTTTATGCTAGTTTTTAACTGAGTTAAATTTGGCCTCCAAGGTCTAAGCCTCTCACTGACCACCAACTCTATATGTGTAAGAACATGTACTTGTACAAATATATTGTGGTCTCCACATAATGTGAATTTTGTGTGTTTTAGTTGCCTTTTTAATCATTTTCTTACATTCCTTTTACTTTGCATCTATACAGCTCTTCTTTTAGCTATTTTCTACCTAGCTCTGTAAAGATGTACCTTCCTTTTGTGTGAAGAGTATGAAAAGAAATGAACAGTAACTAAAAGAAGGTAACAATTAAAGCCATTTTAAAAAAGTAAAAATAGAATCCAAGCTGAATCGTCTGCATTATAGAATTCTAAAAGATACAGCAGACAGCACTTTTAGAAGCTCAGTAGAGATTTTAAAATCTTATATTGGAAATGCTTAGGGACTGGAAAATACTTTATGAAGATCTGGATTTTTAGAAAGGTTTCAGGAAGAGAGTCCAAGAACCCTGTGACCTGTAAATCTGACTTCTGAACTAAGAAAGAGTCTATCTGTCAGAATACAAGAGTTTGTACATTGAGTTTGGTTTAAAAGGAATCAGCACAGGGCTCTAAAAGGCTTATTGTGCTTGGAAACTTAATGAATTCCTGTGAGTGAAGGTGAACTAGGTGCCATTTACTGCAGATGCCGAGATGAACTTAAGAATCCCAACCACTCATTTACCTGACTTGGTTTGGAATTTAGATTGTAACTGGTGTGATCAAGCATGAGAGGGAAGTGTGTGTATGTGTGTTTCTTTCTAATTTCCCGTCCTTTTCATCCCTGTCCTGTTCTTACTCTGCCTGTGCATATCAACACGATGCTTCTACCGCAGAGACCTGCCTCTTCCTGCCTGCTAATCTGCACAGTGTGTAGTTCTGTACATTAAGGTCCTAGGCCTCAAGGAAGAAGATCTGAGAGCAGTCAAACAGGAACTGAGCCCTATGCAAGGCAGGGTTTTACATGTGACTGATACGAAAAAGTGAAAAAGGATATACATAATACAATAGTAGGAGCTGTGGCCATGTCAGGCATAGGTATGATAGATTTCAAAACTAAACTGTGTCCGTAACATTGCCTGGAAACAAAAGGAAAGGCCCTATTCCCACTAGCCACAGGACCTTGTGTTGCAAATCTTGGTAATTTACAAGCTAAGCAGAATCACACCATGTCAGTATTAAAATGGGAGGCCCTCTAAAGATCATCTAGAGGACTGTGCTGTTTCAAGGCTAAACAATATTGCTTTGTGGTTATTTGAACCATTTGTACCTGAAACTGTTCCGTTTGTTTTCCCAAATCATCCAGGTTAATGTAAAATGGTTCATTGTCCATACACAGCACTCCCTCCATCCACTGTTGTACCTGTACAGGCACAGCAGCCTCCTCTCTGTATTGTGTTTGTTTTCTGGGAGGTGGAGACAGACCTATTGTTTTTAATTAAAAAAAAAAAAAAAATGTAAAAGTTTAAAAATATTGTATTGTGTTATGACTACTGTTAAAATATTTAAATTTGTAATTAAAAGGTTAATGTTGTTAAAATTCTAAATAAAAGTATCTAAAGTTTTGCTTGTAATAGGATGCAGTGTCGTTAATGAGCTGGGGAAGGGGATGTTGCAGAAAGCCAACACCACCCGAGTATTAGGGTGGCTGTGGTTTGGCCAGTGTGGAACTGGGGAGCAAGGGGAGGTGGGGGGCACCAGCGTGAATGGGCAGAGAGTGCTCCACATGACCTGTGCTGTTGCTGAGGGGTGGGCAGGAGAGCGTGGGGTCGCACTGTGAGGACTCCTGCACCACCTAAATACCTCACCTGTGCTCGCACAGCAACTGGGCTGTAATCTGAGACAATCCTAACAACCCGTGCTAGGGCGCACTTTTGGAGTTGCAGTAATACACAGGACACGTATGCACTTTTACAAGCACTCCAAGTGTTGAAACTGGTAATGTAAAAAACAAAACTACTAGTATTCATGCAGCCATCTGTAGGCTTACCTGAAATGGCACTGACAGTTCATTAAGAACCATTCTTCTCTCTGAAGATCTCTGTTAAAACCCCAGTGTGATACTGGAGGAGCTATACTCATTTAAGATGAGATGCAGAACCCAATCATAACCAAATAACTGAAGATGCTATGGTACTTACTAGAAAGAAATTACCAACTTTAGTGTCATAACTACATTTTGCAAAACAAAATTCATTATTGCAGTCGGATAAACTGCTCTTCAGGTTGTTGAATGCCTCTGTGCATGCTTTTCAGCAATCATCATCCCTACAGAGCCAAGTGCAGTCTAAATTAATTTGCTAAAAGGGTAAACTTAACTGGAACAAGAAAGAGAATGTTCTAGCAAAAGAACCCCATATTAGTAGGAATGAGATGCTGGAATGTTTTGTTACAGCTATGACTCCCATTGCTTGTATTTTTTCAGTTTGTTTTCCCTTCCATTTTAGTGATAAAAAAGGGAAGGGTAAAGTAACACCACCACAGTTAAGGGAAATTCACTCATACTTTTCCTTATCTTATCTTATATCTATTGTCACTCACGGACTCGGGTTTTTTCCCTTTTCATTAAATGAATGCAGTATATTTGACAGTATTTTTCTCATGTGAAAAAACAACACAATCAACAGAAGGAAATATGAGGGAAAACTTTAAAAATGAATAACTGAAGTGCTCAAAGGCAGAAAATGAGCACTAACCCACCTACAAGTCATATTCTAGTAACTGTATGTGCTATAGTATTAAGTAGAACAGTTCAGAAATGAGTTATTGAACTGAAGCTGACTCAAGTTTATCAATCTAATTTCTGCCTAAAAACCACATTTGTACCATGTTCTTTCTTGTAGCTTCAGAAGAGGAGGACCCTCGAGACATGAGGGCCGGGGACCCAGGGGGAGAGATGGCTTTCCTGGCCCTGAAGATTTCGGGCCAGATGACACTTTTGACTCTCCAGATGAAAACTCAAGAGGAAGGGACCATGGTGTTCGGGGGCGAGGTCGTGGTGCTCTTAGAGGTGAGGGGAATGTTATTCCACACTGGAATGCAAAGATAAGGAAGCAAAGACATTTCTTGGGCAAATTACAGTATTTTCATGAATACAATGTCTCTTTTCACTCCTGTCCCCTGCATCTCTTACTGCTCAGGAGGCCGGAAGGGTTTACTTCCCACTCCAGATGAACTTCCACGCTTTGAAGGAGGGCGGAAACCAGAATCCTGGGATGGAAACAGAGAACCAGGTAAAAAATTTGGTGAGATTTGTTTTAGATAATAGACTATTTTTCTACAATATAACCACTTACAAAAATAGGTGTTTTTTAAATAATGTCTTCTTCCTGTACTTCATATGCTTGTTACCAGTCTTTTACCACAAGAAAAGCAAAACATAGTCCTTTGGACTTCTAAATGTAGGGGAAAAATAACTATTCAGAATTTACCTGGCTCTAAATGCAACCATCTCACTGAGCACAAAATAATTGTGGCCTTGTGTCATGGTTTAACCCCAGCTGGCAACTAATCACCCCACAGCGGCTTGCTCGCTCCCGCCGGGTGGGAGGGGGGAAAGAGAAGGGGAAAAGTGAGAAAACTTGTGGGTTGAGATAAAGACAGTTTAACAGGTAAAGCAAACCAAGGGATTCATTCCCCACTTCCCCCGGGCGGGCAGGTTCAGCCGTCCCCGGGACAGCCGGGCTCCGTCACGTGTAACGGTGACTTGGGCAGACAAGCGCCATCGCGCCGAGTGTCCTCCCTTCCTCCTCCTGCTGCCCCAGCTCTGTGTGCTGAGCATGATGTCCTATGGGCTGGGGTCAGCTGGGGTCAGCTGTCCCGGCTGTGCCCCCTCCAACCCCTTGGGCACCCCCAGCCACTCGCTGCTGGGGTGGGGTGAGAGGCAGAAGAGGCCTTGGCTCTGGGTAAGTGCTGCTCAGAAGTAACGAAAACATCCCTGTATCACTGACGCTGTTCTCAGCACAAATCCAAAACACAGTCCCATATAAGCTACTGTGAAGAAAATTAACTTTATCCCAGGCAAAACCAGCACGCCTCAAAGTCTTGATTTTTTGCTGAATTCTTGTACAGCCCAGAACTGCCCGTTGTTGTCACCTGTGTGTGACTGAAGCACATCTCACAGGGTTTTCTGAGATGCATATTAATGCCAATAGTAATCTTTCTCTTGGATGGCATCTTCTCTATTGTTTGCAAAAATAATGTTTTCAGCTGCAATGTCTGATAGCTTAATGGTATTTGCATTTGTGTTACTAATGGCAACCCCATATGGGGCAAAACTGAGTTTTAGAATGTTATGGAAAAAAAGAGCACAAATGCCACATGAATAAATGAAAATGCGCTTGTCTCCAAAATATATAAAAATATGGTATGCCAAAAAGAACACTTTAGATCTGTCACTTCTTTCTTTCCCATCATCTTTTAAACCTTTCATTTTCTTAGACCTTAGTCATCTAATGTTTGCTTATTTGTCTGTTGGGCGTGGCAGGGGGAGCTTTATGTAATTTTAACTTAAAATTGTGTGCCAAATAGTGTGGAAGATGTGTACATTTATGTGACTGCCTTCAAAAGTTAAGTGATCAGATGAACATTACTTATTATCCTGGTTTTGTTCTTCATGCTCAGGTCCTCGTCCAGATCACCCTCCTCACGACGGACATTCTCCAGCTAACAGAGAGCGTTCTTCTTCGCTCCAGGGCATGGACATGGCCTCACTGCCACCACGTAAACGCCCCTGGCATGATGGACCAGGCACCTCTGACCACAGAGAAATGGATGCTCCAGGTGGACCTCCAGAGGAGAGGGGCAAAGGTAAAAAGCCCCTTGTGTTGAAAACCTTATGTAACACTGGCACATTTTTCAACAGTAGGCTTAACCAGAATTATGTAGCTATTCAGAGGGGATAAAGCTAAACTGGTAAATATTTGATCTTACCAGCTGTGAAGCTGAACACCAGTCTTACAGGAACATAAGAACAGAGGGGTTTTCTGGAACATGAAATCCAAATCTTCTCTCCAGAATCATATAATCCTCTTTATTGCCATGTTCGAAAGCAGTTAGTTTTTGGCTCCCTGTTACTCCAGTTGGAAAACTCTTGTTAAGAGCTCTTTTTCTCTCCAATTTTTAGAACAGTTATTTGTTAATGTTCATGCTTGTGCTAGCATCCTTTAACTCAAATACCTTTCCTCTCTCAGCCTTCATTCTTTGAGACTTAATGAACCTTGATTTTTTTTAAGTCTTTCTTTACGAGTTCTCTACTTTCAAGAGTCTAAGCATGGCCATCCATGATCAGACCAGAAATCCATAAAGCTCAATAGCTTGCCTTCAACAATAGCCAGTAACACGTACTGAGGGAACAGTGTTAAGAACACTGTCAGGCTGTAGCGATGTGTCCCTGAAATGCTCTCTAAACCTGTGAAGATCTGTAGTTCAGTGATTTACTGAAATGGGTTTTTTTATAGTTAATGGCTTTTGACAATTACCTTTTGTATGTTTCTCCAGTTGCTTTAAGAATCATATAAACTTTTGACATCCACAACATCCACGGACAGAGCTCTAAAACTTAATTGCAGTAGACTATGCTTTAAAAAAAGAAAGGAAGGAAGGAAGATGTCTTTCTCTTGTTTTAAGCCTATTCACTAATTTCGTTTGATGATGTCTTATGTTTTAACTGGAATAGTTGAAAGTTGATCCTTACTATTTCTGAACGCCACCTCTAATTGATTGTATCAAACTACCATTTCTCCAAGTCAGAGCTCTGATCTGTTTAGTTGTTCTCTCTGGGAAGTTGTTCTGTATCTTCTACTATGTTAATTGCTCTGTACTATTGTCAGGTTTAATTTATCCTTTTGTAAATTTAACGGAGTAACCAGGAATTGCACACACTATTTAAGATGTGGTTTAACCATGGATTTCTATAGTTCGCTTGGTTTTGTTCTGATTTCTCCATTCTTTCCTAATAGCTCCTGATGTAATTTTTCCCTCTTTAACTACTAGTCACATGGCACTGCCATGCAATTAGCCACTGTAACCCACAAAATACATTCTTCTGGAGTTAGTAGCTGGTTCAGAGCCTATTACTGTCTATGCCATTTTCACAATCATCCTATTAGCGCCACACCAGTTCTTGATCCTTTTTCTTCTTATAAATCTCAGGATTGACATTGCCTTTTTTAAATGTCCTCTGTCACTGGTAGTGATTAGTGACAGAGATCATTCTCAGTTGTTTCTAAATTCTGAGCTGCCAGCCTGTTGGATTTTTTTTTTTTAGACCTCTACTGCACAGCTTTGTCTTTGATGCCACTGAATTTCATTCCACTTCTCTTATAATGAAGCTCATTTAGTTTTAACTGTATGCCAGTCCTCCTCTGCATGGACTGTATTTTGAGTGTTGTATTAACATCAGGTTTTACCATTTGTTCACGGATGTTTTTAATAAAACTCTGCTAGTAAATTCCCTCTGTTATCAATATTTTTCCTTTCAAAACTGTACATTGTGTTTCTCATTTAGCCAGCATCTTATCAAATCTGTAAGGATTCCTTCTCCAGCTTCAATAATTTGTGATGACTCTATCAGATTCTTTATTGAAGTCAAAACAATTAACTACCCCCATTTCTTGTGCCTAGACGACTCATTAATGTACTAAAGAAAGTTTAGAACAATGGCAGAAAGTGTGATAAACAAAACATGAAAAATACTTTTTTAAGTATGGGCTATGTTACCTTCAGTGGCATTGGTAAAATCATTTGAAGATTAAAACTTCAAAATTTTAATTCTTTAAAAGAGAATTATAAACTCTGTGGAACAATTTGGTCTCTATTTTACACAGAACCAGGTAGTCAACAAAAAAATCACTCTTGCCAAAGTGGAGCAAAAATATCTTAATTTAGCTGTGGCATGTGTCCATAACTCACTGTTACCTTTTTTTTTTCTTTTTTTTTTTTTCTTCAAAATACTGCTTGTTATTTTGAGCTATTGCCTTTCAGGTTTTTAATTTACATATCAGTACTAAAAAGATCTGTGAGAAGTAGAAAATCCTGTTCCTGGCAGTAAGAGCTCCTATAGTTTATGTTCAGGGTTAGTAGTAAAACAGAACATTTTTCCATTATTTCTAGCAAAAAATGGAACAAAATATTAATGTTACACATTGTTTTTATCACCAACCTCAACTGATCCATCAGTGCAATGTCTTTGTTAGGGAAAAAAAAATAAGTATTTTGCAATAAAAATATACAGAGAACCACAGATGGTGTTAAAGCATAATAATCAGGTATGCCTGACAGTTTTAAGGACACCATGATCATCACTGTTCTAAGCTAATTTAAGTGATTGCTGACTGTATCAGATAAAATCTACTTTAAGTCCCAAGGAATTGCTTGATTGCTGTCCATCTTCTGGACTGTGATGGAGACACTAAACCTATGTAAGAAAAATCATATAGAGGGAGGAGGCATAAAATTAGATGTCTCAACTATCTTTGGTCTGAAAATAATTATACCACAGAAGGACTAGCTAAATATATGGTCTGAGAAGACTTCAACATCGGTAACTGACTGTGTTTCATTTTTAGGACGAGGAAATTCAGGGCCTTCACAGCGAGCACCAAAATCGGGGAGGTCTAGTTCTCTAGATGGAGACCATCATGATGGATTCCACAGGGATGAAGCTTTTGGTGGAGGCCCTGCAGGAGGCAATAACCCTTCTCGAGGAGGAAGGAGTGGAAGTAACTGGGGAAGAGGAAATAACATGAACTCTGGCCAATCAAGAAGAGGAGCGTCTCGAGGTGGTGGAAGAGGCCGATAGAAGAGGCTTTGACTGGGTCACACCCAGTCCTTGCTGGACAATATTTAATAGACTGCTACTCTGGACTCATAAACTCCTGCAACACCACAGACCTGGATTCTTAACTGGGATAACTGAATGTGCATTAGTTCCTAACAAAGGTCTTTTCCTAGATCAGTCAACTGCTACTAGCTGCAATATTGTAGCTAGCTTTCTGTTTTGTCCTCTCCACCCCTGTTTTTTTCACCTTCTTTTCCCTACTTTGTTTTGTGAAGAGCTGGAATTTTTTTTAAGTGTTGTGAGACATGGAGCACCTCCACAGATTTCAGTTCACCTCCAGACAGAAACTTGTTTCTATATGTACAGTTTGTCAGAAGAGTTACGTTGTTTTTGTATGAATACAGAATGTAATTTGCGCAAAAATTAACAAAAAATCAACACAGTGTGTGATTCTTTACTCACCTATTACTATAAAGAGGGTTGTCTTTAGGCAAACTTGTGTATCAGATGGAGCAACAGAACTACCTCCTGAAATCTCAACCATTTAAAATACTAATAGCTGATTCCTAGTTTTTTGCTTTTATCATGTATAGAGATCTTTCGTTTTCACCTTTGGCCACAGCTGTCTACAGATTACAAGTGGTGCTGACGTTAAAATTCCAAAACACAGGAAATCACCGCTGCTTGCTAGTCTACCATCCTGAAAGAGAAAAACGTGGAACACCATTTAGAAAAAGTTGTAGTTATAACCTGGACTGCTAGCAAAATAGACATCATGACAAATACTGTCATTCTACACTTCACCTGAGCAAGTCAAATATTTTTCTGCAAAACAGCATCTGTTTAGAAACTGAGGAAGAAAGAAGTTTAGCAGCTTGATTAAAATTAATGCCAATGTTTTACAGGGGCTGTAGGATGCACCACTTAAAGATACGGGTGTTTGGTAGAGTCTGGTGCATTCAAATGCCAAAGTGCAAACCCTGATAGTCAATCACTTCTATCTTAATGTTTTTTAAGTATCTTTAGGATATTGTTTCCTAGCTTTACTAGGGGAGGGAAATGAGGAGGAGGGGCTATTCCCATTTCCCACATTTCATAATAAAGCTGCTTACCAACCATGAGTTTCTGTTTTCCCCATAAATCATTCATAAAAATTACCTCCATTCACCAGGTTATTAAAAGGCTCCTTTAATAACTAAAGTCTCAATGAAAAGTTGATCACGTAAGTACATACTGTAAAGTCAGCTCTCAGGAAGATCCTACATTAAAAGTATAGGATATAATGAAAAATATCATTGCCAGGCTTCCCTCCCCCCCAGCCTTGAATTTCATGTTATAATATTCAGGATAATGTGGCAATGTAGCTCTATTGCTGACAAGGCTACTGCAACAACAGAGTGGTAGACAGCAGCTATTTTACCTGACTTCTGATAAGGTCAGATTTACTAAAGACTGGCTTAGGTCCTGATGACCTGTTTTATTTAAGAGATCAAAGCATAGATGCTTAGCTGCTCTTCTCTTGGTTTGGTCAGTCACAAGTAGGGATTTTTCTTCTTAGTTTTTAATTCATAGTGTATAAAATGGCATTTGAAAGGTACAGTAGTAATTAACTCTGATCATTATCCTACAAAATCCTTGTCATGGGGCTCCAGAGAGACAGAATGGTCTTAAAGGAATTAACTGGGAAACAGCTGAGATACACCTGCCATGACACAGTTTTTCCTTTAAGGAGAAAAAAAAAAAAGCTTTTTACCTCAATCTGAAGAAGTGCTTTGGTCACGTTTGGTATACAGCTGGGAGTTAGGATCTATCCTGAAGTTTTAAGGATAAATACCAATGATTTAATCATTAGCAAAGGGGAAAGCTTGCGCCCCCTCATTTTTAACAAGCCCTATATATTTTTAGGGGGCTGAAAGTGACTTTTGTCTAACAGAATGTGATTTAGAGGATGAGCTTTAGTCCTTAATTAAACCACAGTCCTCTACCAAAACAAGTTAGAGTGTACCTACTAGTATGAAACCCAGCTTTCTCTATCTAGGCAAAGGGGAGTAGGCTTGTTTTAACTCTCATTGTTGGTTAACTCCTTAAACCTATGGTACTTTATGTTAAGTACTAGTCTTCATCAAGGGGCAGGGTTTTTTTAATTAATTAGGCTTTAAAATGTTCCACAGTCATGGAATATGCACAAAAAGTTGTAAGAAAATTGGGTAATAGCTTAAGCTGACTTTTGTATAAAATCTTAGCAGGTGACAGCAGAGCAGGAGAGACAGAAGCAGCTTCCCAGTCCACAGTACTCTGACCCACTATTGCTGAAAAATGGATAAAATTACTTGATGGAAATACACTTCTGTACTCTTCAGGTCAAGTTCTTTTACCAGTGCTGCATGTAGAATCCTTATGATCTCCCTGCTTGTTCACAGCTCCACCTTGTCTAAGATTTGTTTAATTTGATATTGCTGTTAGGAATAAATTAATTTTATATACTAGAGCTTAGAAACTGTAAAAATGAGAGAACTAATTTAATGCTATTCAGATAGCTCTGATCTATGTTTTTAAAGAAAAAAAAGTGACCATTAGTGGAATGTCTATACTGACATTTGGTACACAAATAGTTTTATTAGAGAAATCTATGTACATTTAAGTACCCTCATTTAACAATTTCAGTTTCATTCAGAGCAAGTATTAGGTGAATATGCTAAATCCCAAGTAGTGATAGCAGGTAAGTATTGCAGTGTTTGGCTTTATTTTGTATATAAGGCACTTATAGTTGGTGAGATACTCGCTTGGGCTCTGAGCAGGTTGGGCCTGGTAGTCCTGTTTATCTGCAGCAGTACAGCACACGGCCCAAACTCGGGTCCCAAGCTCTCAGCAGTGACTGCCAGCCTGAATTCAGCACCTTCCTAAGGCCGCTTAGTTTCTACATTGAAACCGAGCTGCGCTAGCTGAAACAGGCTCCAGTTACTAGCAAATCTATTTTTGAAGGTCAGGCCGTGACAACCAATTCCTGCCCAAGTTGAGAGCCCAGAAAATACATACATGAAAAAAATAAAGTTCCGAGAGCCAAAGCTGCTCTTTTAAAGCCCGAATATTTGCTACCTTACAGCAGCTGTAAGGCAGCAATACCTGCAAAGGCCAAAGCCAGATGAGTACCTTTCATCCTACCATGCGAGATGACTACCCTTACAGTTACGGGTAGTCTTTGTGACCCACAGCCCCAGGAAGGTTTGTTTCACTTACTGCATGGTATTTTAAACATGTTTTTTAGAGACAAACGCAGTTCAGTGCACACAGTACTCAGACCAGTGGTGAATATGAGGTGGCTGATGACTGCACTACACAGCGAGTAAAGTATGTGTTCAGAGCATAGGAGTCGGCACAGAAATGAGTTAATAGCAGTTAACTGTTTCTGAACGTTCACCCCTACACCTGATCAGATTTTGTTACATTGTCTCCGTGTTTCTACATCAGCCAGCCCTAGGCACCTCAGCTGTAAGATACTTGGTTTTCACCTAAGGGGCAAGTCAATAATTACATTTCATCAGCTCCGTAAGGTCACTCACGTTTTGAAGTAGGCTGCAGCAGCCACATGGTCCTATACTGGAGGTAGGAAAGTGGGATGCTGCCAGCTCCCCCCCAGAGCCGGAGAGACTCCAGGCCAGGGCTATCGAGCTCGCTTTGCCGTAAGGCAAAAATCCCGTGCCCGGGGGGGGGGGGGGGGGGCGGCTCGGCAGGCCGGCACCGACACCGCTACCCCTGACCGCAGCGACGCGAGTTCCGAGAGTCCCTGCTGCCGTGCCCCGGGTTGCCAGCCGCTGCTTTTCTCGCTGGAGAAGCGGCGAGGGAAGCCCCGCAGGAAGGCGGAGGAGGCGAAGAGAAGCGGCGCGGGGTCGACGCCATCCTCAGCCGCGGCGTCTCCGTGTGCCCGGCGCCAGTCAGTCTCTCTCCCTCAGTCCCACCGGGCGAGTCCCGCCGAGCGCCGGCGCGGGGCTCCCTCACACCGGCAGCGCTTTGCCGCCGCGGCGGAGCGCGGCGCTGAGGAGGCCGCCGAGGCGGCGCAGGCCGGCGGCTCCCCCGGGCAGCGCGGCCAGGAGCGCGGCGGCGGCGGCGCCCAGCTGGGCGGCGGCGCCCAGCGCGGTGAGCAGGGTGCTGCGCAGCACCAGCGCCGCGTACAGCGTGCCGCCCAGGGCGCCCAGGTAGAGGAGGGAGCCGCGGCCGGGCTCCCGCAGCAGGCGGGCGGGTCCCCGCAGCAGGGCGGCGGCGGCCAGGGCGCAGAGCGAGCCGAGGGACCAGAGCAGCGCGAACTTGCGGGCGCGGAGCAGCAGCAGCGGCGCGTACAGCGCGGCCAGCCCGAAGCAGAAGGCGGCCAGCAGCAGGCACAGCCCGCTCCCCGCCAGCCGCTGCCAGCGCGACAGCCCCGGCAGGCAGGGGTCCGCCTCGGCCGCCCACGGCCAGCCCGGCCCCGGCCCGGCGGGAGCGCCGCGGCCCGGCGGGAAGGGGCTCAGCGGGCCCAGCCAGGCCCCCAGGCCGCCGCCGCTCCCCGCCTCCTCCTGCGAGCAGCCGGCGGGCGGCGGCGCGGGGGCCGCGCTGGAGCCGCAGCCGGCGGGCGGCGGCGCGGGGGCCGCGGCCTTCGACTGCGCGAGGTACTCCTGCAGCTGCCGGCCCAGGTCCGCCATGGCAGGGCCGCGGGACCGCGCGGCCGGCCCTGCGCTGCGCTACGTTACGCTACACCGCCCCGCCCTCCCGCCCCGCCGCCGCCATCTTGCGAGGCGGCTGCATCCGGGTGACCGGGCGGGGCCGTGAGGGCTGAGGAGGGGCCCGCGCCCTCCACTGCCCCGCCAGCGCCGCCCCACCGGTTCCGACCGCTGCAGTTCGCCCGCTCGTCGCCCAAGAGCGGAGGCGGAGCGGCTTGGCGAGAGGAGCGGGGACGCTTCTGCAGCACGGGGATGCCAGGGGCGGCTGTGTGGTCACCGGAGGGACAACCCGCCTCGGCCGCTCCTCATGAAGCGGCCGCGAGCGGTAACCGTTCGCGGTTTCGGCAGCTCCCCGGAGGACTGTATCACATTCGAAACGTAGGTTGGTAAGAGGAAGGTGATATTTGAGATCGGTACGACTCACGGGTCGCCCCCGCGGGACGCGAGGAGGCTCGGCCCGGTGGCCGGGAGGGAGGTGGAGCGCTGGCCTGCGCCCTGCTCCTCCCTGGCTGCACCGGCGGTCTCCTCCTCACGCGTTCAATCCAAGTGATCTCTGCATCTCTTTAAAAGAGAGCTGCAAAAGTAGAGACACGTTGGCAACCCAGAAACCGCTACAACCGGAGAAACTAGAGGTGCAGAGGGCCACTAAGAGCTTGTCTGTTTATCGCTGTGCACTCAGCTAAATCCACTTAATTTGTTGGCTGCTTATTAATAAGATTACCTATTACCCTTTCTTCAACCAACCGTTAAACCAAAATAAGAACATCTGACTCAACTCTTCACCCTGGTTTAAATAAGTAATATCAAATGCTAATTTAACCCATATGATTCTAAATGTTTACTGCAGGGCTGAAAAACTAGGTGTTTGGACACCAGGAAACACAGAGAGCACACACTTTCCATCAGTACCAAGCCTGCAACAATATCCATAGCAATGGTGAGTCATATCCTACTAGGCTGCTTCATGAGATGCAAATAAAGTTTGAAACCGCTTTTGGGCAGAAGTTCCCTGTCCCATTTGGTGGATCACTTTAGCGTTGATACATTACACGTTGATACATGTCAGAGAACATTTAAGTGCTCAGGACAAAGGTTGATCACCTGCAAAAAGGGATTAGATGTTATAGAAAATATGATGCTTGGAGGGGTCCTTGTTTGACAGGAGTGCAATCCCTCTGCCTTTTGGCAGCCAAGGATGCCATCTAACCGCTTGCTAGGATAACCTTCCAGACGTGTTCTGCTGCTGCTGCTGCCCTGAGGGCAAAACGCGCTGGGAAAGTTGTCTCCCCCTCGCCTTGGGGATGTGCCATGAGCGCAATGGCCCGTCTCGGCAAGGCAGGAAGCGCGGTTTCTTTGTTCGCAGGGAAAAAAAAAATGTTATGTCAATGAGGTATATGCCAGCTATAACTGTAGAGCAGGTAGCGGCTCCGTGATAAAACCGCACCGCCAGCGTTTCCTCGCTCCCTCCCAGCAGCTCCCGCAGCGTGCGCGCCCGGGGCCGCCGGCTGCCGGGAGGCGGGCCCGCTCCGCCGCTTCGTTATTCACCATTTCTTTCCCTTTATAGGAAAAGTATGCGCGGGGCCGGGGGGGGCTGCCCTGAGTCACCGGGGGCTGCGGCTCCCGCCCACGCCCTGGGGGCCCGGGCCGCCGCCGGGCCGGGCCGGGGCGGGGTTTCTGCTGCCCGCCGGGGCTCGCCGGGGCCGCAGCCGCCGAGCCGAGGCGCGTGTCCCGCCTCGCAGCCCCTCCGCCACAGCCCGGCGCCGGCCGGGGCCGCGCCGCCATGACGGGCAGGTAAGGCCGGGGAGGGGGGAGGCCCGGGCAGCCCGGCCGGCGGGCGGGGGGTCGCTCCCGCGCCCTGGCCCCGGTGGGCCGGCCGTGCCTTCACCGCCCCTGCAGCAGGCGGGGAAGGGTCGGGAACAGGCCCCCCCCCCCCCCCCCCCCCCCGCCGCCAGTTTACCCTGGGTAAACCGATGGTGTGCCCGGTGGGAAGCGGCCCGGGGAGAGGAGGGTTTCTGCCTGCGAGGTTCAGGCGGAGCGGGCTGCGCCAGCTCCCGCGCCGCCGGCAGCTCCGTGCGGTAGTGCAGTCGGAAGCTGGCCCTCCTGGAAGAGCAGAGCAAGGGCTGCTCCGCTGTGCCCAGCCCCTGTTCGGGGGGCACGCAGCGAAGGGCGGCGGGAAGACCAGGAGCAGGGGTGGGAAGGAGCGGCTGTGGATGTGAGCAGTGTCTACCCCGCGGGCAGGTTCCCCGCAGCCGACAGCCTGCCCCCGCCGTGACCCGCACCGCCGCCCCGCACTTTGGGGCCCTTCTGACTGATCTGCCCGCACGTTCCGTCTCTTCTTAGGGCTGGCCTCGGAGTTACACGTTCCAAGAGCTGTTTAGATCTGGAGCTTAAGTCTCCTCCCACGGTGTCTGACACTGGAGAACTCTGTTAAAGTCACCTAATTGACAGATGTAAATGAAAAAAGCAGTGGGGAAGGCATTTACTGGCATCTTCTGAGGGTTTGCACAAATGCTTTAGTGTCTCCAATCACTTTGTTCTCCCATCTGTAAAATACAACCCAGATGCTTCAAAGCACTTTGTGAAAATAAGCTTACTTTTGTAAAGTGTCTTGAAGATGAAAAGCATGAAGAAGTAATATTAAAATTAGTAGGGTGCCTTTTTTAGGATAGTGATCCTCCTGAAGTCCATTGTCTTTACTGTAATCACTTGAGGCATTGCTCTTCGTGACTAGGAATACTGAAACAGAGCTGGAGTATTTTGTGTATAAGTATTCAGTTTTCTTTTGTGCAAAGTCTTGATGTTTGTCTTATGCAGCTTCTTATGATTATTTGAGGTAGATCATGTTTGGTGGGTTGTTAGGTATGAGAATGTGCTGAATAGTTTTTATGTCCTCATCTGTGATTTGGGTGAGTGTTATTTTTGCTCTCAGTGATGACAAATTGATGTTGATGGGTGGTTGTACATGCTCAAAACTCTTCTGTTTTTTTGCCTCCTGTCTTTAGATTACTTTATTTTCTGTCCTCATGGTCCCTTTTCTGTGCTTTTGACATGTGAAATAGGTGTGTATTTACCACTCTACATGAATTGCCATACAACTAGAGGAAGATTCAAGAGTCTTAAATGTTCACAGGTTGTGGGTAACCATGCAGCTCCTAAATGGGGACAAGATGGGGAGGACCCAGGAAGAATTGTGGCTGTATGAACCCAGCTGATTTTATTTTTACATAGCTGTGGTTCTAAACGTGAATGACATGTTTACCTCAGGTGAAGTCACTCAGTTGCAGAGAACAGTGGGAAATGCCTGTGGACAGTAATCCCTGTTGTCTTCTCTCTGTGCTTCCTCAGAAACCTGCCTGTTAAAGTACAGCACTGTATTCAGTGAGAAGCTCTGATGTGAAGCACAAGGCTTGGTGGAGAGTTCCAAGGTAGTTGAGGTGCTGCAGAGTGTGCAATTCTTCAAAGTAATGCAGGATTTCTGTCTCTTTTTCCCCAGATGTACTTCAGAGGGTTGTGAAAATGAGCAGGCCTTGGCTTTATCTGTTGAAAAGTGAATGCAGGTGTTATTTAATGTTTTCAGAAATGTTTGTCAGTGATGAAATTTCTAAATTTCTGTCTGCTGTTTTCCTAGGACAAAATGATTAACTGTTCTATCAGAGACATTTATCACAGCTGTAATTCAACTGACTTTTTCTGCAGTAATAGTGTAATCCATTTAGGGTAGCAGTTTCTCAGCAGAACAAAACCTTTACTTTTCAGTGTCTGTGAAACATTGCACTGCTCAGCACCTTGCCCAAGTGATGCCACTTGACAAGCACCATGTTTAGTGTTGTTTTCAGGCTGGGACAGACTCCTAAGTCATTAGAAAAAATACAGCCTCCAGAATGTACTTCCTTAGGTCCACCTCCAGGTCACTCTACTAAACCGTGGCCAGATGTTGTTCAATGTTTGTAAAGTTGTATTTCTTAAAATCTGTTGCCATTATATAATCAGATGTTTCCCAGCTTTTGAGATTCAGGGTTTTCAGGGTTCTGGAAGGAGATGAACTGTTTAGCAGCTGGAGCATCCCCACAATATCGATCAACCAGAACTTTCCGGAGCCAGGAACCTGACATTAATGTGCCTCTGGTCTCAAAACTCTTGACATAGGGAAGGGAGTGATTTTGTTGTGTTACACTGTGTCAAAGCAAGGAAGACTGGAGAACATGAGGTGCTGACCTTACTCTTTTTCACTTCACCTTTCTGTCAAATGGAAACACAAAAGGACTCACTTCTAGGTATTATGATTACTGATGCATTACTAATAATTAAGATAGATGAAAAATAATTCCATTTTCGTTTTTAAGCGTTCTGTCCCATTTAGCTGCAGAGGGTGTCTCCTGAATTTAAATAGCTGCAGTAATTTGATTTACTGGTTTTCAGCACTATGGAAAAATATAATTCCAGAAAATACAAAGAGAGATGTGCACTTCTATCTATTCATAGTAGAAAACTATTAGTAATAGGTGACTTATTTAGCAAATTAAATTCAAATATTACGTGTATCATGAGTTACACTGTTACAGTGTGAGGATTGTGTTTTGTTAGAGAAAACTGATAATCGGAATTTGCAAATAGTAATTCTGACTGCCGTGTCTTGGCTAAGCTATTTTATTTCTATGTGTCTTGACTAAAGTGGCTGTTACAGTCCCTAATTTCAAGAGCAGTCTGGTTTAAAGGGCTACAGTTAACTTAAAAAATCACCCTTTCTTTGAATGTGTCTGTTCCAAATAAAAGCCAAAGATCATAGGACTGAAAGAAATGAAAGATATGTATGTATTTTAGTTTTATTAAGTTACATGCTGTTTAAATACATTTGGAAATAAACTCTGTATAAGAGATAATGTGTTAGGTATAAAAATAAGTTTCTAAGCAGCCTTTCTACATTTTGCAGTGTTGAGAAATATAATTTATATGATTTTTGGTGCCTTTAGAAGGATACGATG